TTGTTATTGGGTTAGAATTAAAACAGTCTGACTGATATATATATATATATATATATATATATTTTATTCTGATATTTTGCAAATGGTTCAAACTCAGTGTACATGTGACAACAATAAAACCAATATGTTGGTTGTGAAACACGCTAAATACATTCATCTCAATAATACAGGGAAGCTATGACATTCTCACAGTTGAGGTCTCAATACATTGAAGAGCTAAAGTTTCGAATTCCACCATAAATCTTGCCTATAATGAGAGGAATGTGACCAGGACTAATGTTTTAAGTACTGTAAAGTAATTTTCTTTGTAATTTATGGTGTCTGTATCGTTTGGTAATCTCTTCTAACAGGATGTATTAAGTAACAAGGGGTCAGGCTCAGGCGGTGTTTATTAAAACCACCTGTACTATAAACTGTTACATACATTTGCTAGTAGTGGCAATTAGTTTTGTCTCTATAGTGAAATAACATACACAAACATATGTTGAAATAAACTTGTTTGAAAGTTCAAAGAAATGATATTCAAGTACCGAAAAGCTTTCTTACTGTCATATCTACAGTAATGTTCAAATGCGCCCGCGCTGGGCTGAACGAGAATGACCCATAACAGAGGTGAGATATTTTACCGAAAACGTACAAAGTTTACGCTGCTGACCCCACAGTCAGAAAAGCTTTCTTACTGTCATATCTACAGTAATGTTCAAATGCGCCCGCGCTGGGCTGAACGAGAATAACCCCCAACAGAGGTGAGATAGTTTACTGAAAACGTACAAAGTTCACGCTGCTGACCCCACGGTTTATTCGGCACAATAAACAAAAGTACGGCTGCAATGAAACATAAACATAAACTTGAAATAAAAATATATTTATGAAAGAAAATTAAAATGTTTTTATGTACATATATAAACATGAAATCTTAGTTAAAAACAAAAATACTCATCTGTTGTTTAGGTTTATTTACAAATATTATTTTTGGGTCTTGTATATTACTTGAAACCATAAGGAGAGTACATGATTATTAAAAAATTAAAAAAATAGATAAAATTTGCATTTTATGGACGATACAAATTTTTTGGGATTGCAAAATAATATTCTAAAACATAAAAAGTAATCAGTTCAAATCTAGAACAAATATAAATATGGTAATAATTTCTTATAAATACCATTTCCTAATGTAATTTTCCAAGATATTAAAAATCATAATGCAAAAAACTAAATTTATCAAAAAGTAACAGGCTTTATGTTTCTTAAAGTATGTGCATTTATGAAAGTTCTTAAGAAGTTTCAAAACTTTGTAACCAATAGTTTTATTGTTGTAATGACATATAGCAAGACTTGCATTGGCTACTAAGAAAGTTAGTAGCTGGTAGTAATCGGGTTAATGTAATTTGTTTCATTATATAAGAAAATGCTGAACAATATTAGATGTATTTTTCTATATGTTTATTAATGAATTTTTTCTAATTATTCAATAAAATTATGATACATGGTCACACTTTTAAATATAAATAGTGTTGAAACTGAGATTGTGTCACATCTCTTTAGTCACATGACCTGAGCAAGTTGTGTATCAACTGAATAAGGTTAATTTTTGAATATTAAGTGATGAGGATCCCACAGGGTGATTAAGTTTAATATCATGAATAGCTTCACAGTGGAATGTATTTATATTTTAAAGCAATTAAAACTGCAACATTTCAGCCCATAGGAGCGAGTCATTCTTGGGATTGTAGTTGACTTACCTATGGTATGAGCTTCATTCTACCCCTGTGTGGATGTCGGTTCCCAGTGGCATGGTTTTTGGATGTAGTTGACTTGATGTGTATGGTCTGTCATGCCCTAGCCACTCTACATCTTCATTTCTCTCCTAGTTGGACATGCTCCTCTGTTTTCCTCCCATATATACAACATCTTCCTACAATAGGCAAAGAGTATACCTGGTTCTTAGAATATGACTGTCTCACCCTAAGGAGATATCATCAATGAACAATATTAGCAGTTTATGGTAAACCATCAATTGATGATAATAGCAGTTTAGGAGTTAATGGCAATAAAGTTTTGTTTTCAAAACCAGCTTGGCATAACAGAATCATAACATTAAGTCTGGACAACACACATGCCATGATACTTCCACAGAATGTCATGTAACACATAAAAAATTCTCTGATATCTGTAGATAAGCATAGTAATGACAATAATATAGATAAAAAGTAAAAGAAAAAATTAAACCTTAGAACAATGTAATAACAATGCACCAAATTCACAATTAAGCTTTAAAAAGTTATGAATAAACAAAAAACACTACATCTCTGTATGCCAAATAAACATAACACTTAAAAAGTCAGGTGAAATCAGTGTAATATAGGATTCATTACAAAATTAGATTTTACAAACTCAAAAGTAAAGAGGAAGGTTTACAAGATGATACACTGGGAACTACAGGGACCAAGGAGAATGAAAACTTCATCAATACATGTATAACAGAAAACTGTTACTTTTAGATGAGGAATCATAAGGTATCTTTCATAAAATTTACGCTTACACATATTTATAACAAATTTGATCACTAACAAAGAATAATGAATTATACGAGATATAGAAATAATAATATGTACAATTTTATGAGAAATAACTGTTGTAATATAGTAAATCTCCAACAACTTTCAGGATATCCTTAAAAACCCTGCTCCATAATAATACCGACGTCATTATATTATAAATAAGTAGATAGATAACTTTATTGGCCCCCCATTATAGTTTGGTGCTTAGCAGTATAACACTCGGCCACCACCCATGTTTTGTAATATGCACTCAATGTAAATTCATTCTTAAATGAAAGAGACTACAGAATTGCTTTACATACTGTACATCACAATATCAACTGGTTAATAAATTGATGACAGTAGTGATTTTACATATAGAGTCATTATGATGGTTTGATTGATTGTCTTTCAACACAAGACAAGATAGACAACATTTATTGCTGCAACTAATTTTTAATTTAGATTAGCCAGAGATGATTGTTAAATAGTAGCTAGCTGGTTGTGCATGATATCCAAACATAGCAAAACAGAAAATAGTAGGAAAGTGCCAGAAATCAGTTTCTTTACATAGTCTCTCAGTAATGAATGTATTAAATACTTAGCAGAGCTGTGATGACTATAATCATGATTATAAACCAGTGAGGAGATTTTATGTAAAAAATTTCTTCTTAACAATTAGTTGTAAAATTATATAAGGTCTAGAAAATTTCAAAAGGTGCATTTAAAGATAGGAAATCATTGCAGTGAAAGTACCCAAACAGCATTGAGGATACCTCCATCTCTTTGATTATTGACCAAAATGCAGGTGAATAAACCGTATGAAAACATCAAATAATAAATCATGTAACACTAAATCAATTGAGAAACTGATGCTCAAGCCCTTAATGTTTTGAGTCAACCAAACATTTACCATCTGTGGAGCCAGTTGTGAGAATGGTGGTTATACTATAAAAAAACGTGTTAGATAATATTAATACTGGTATTGCTGTTTTATAAAATATTTTACTTTTCTATGTAAACAATCTATGTTGGATTCAGACACGTGAAAAAACTGTAAATTTAAGGATGCTGAATAGATTGAATGTATTGTTGTATACCTAAAGTGGGTATGAAGTAGTCATCTATTTAAATTATTTTAAGATCCTAACCAAGGTCAATGAAAAACGGAGCCTTCATATAAAAGAGAGCTTACTTTTTCATAGACAGTCTTAACCCAGCTAGTTCAGTATATGATATGCTGGAACCAAGTGTAAAGAACTAATGAAGTAAAGTATTCATTTCTTGAAATGAAGAGCATAGCATGGCCTAGTGATTAGTGTGCCAGACTGTGGACCTGAGAGTCTATGGTTTGCACTCTGTTGCTGCAAAATCATGTTCAAACTTTGGGGTTGACAGTCAAAATCATGCTATTCAATTAGAGTAGCCTAAGATTGACCGTGTTTCACATAGCTGCCTTTCATCTAGTCTATCATTTTAAAATTAAGGCTGTCCATCATAGATAGCCTTTATGTAGCTTTGCATGAATATCAAAACAAACAAACTATGAATGATCCATTGAATATGTTTCCTTTGATATTCAGTGAAGCAGTAATGAGAAACACATTTGGAATGACCCATTAGTAGTTGTGTTTGAATCTGATTAAAATATACATTTAAAAGAGATTATATTTTCTGAACATTTCCTGCAGCTGCCTTAGAAATGATACTTTAAAATTTTGTGTGGATTTTATGTGACAATATTAAATGTATTGAGTGAGAAAACCAACTTTTTAATTAAATATTTGGATTTTTATTCAGTAATTTCAAAATTTTGTTTTATTTTGGCTTTTAGAAATTACTAGAAGAAAGAGGTGCTAAATCTGTACTAAGAAGACAGTTTGAAACTAACAAAAACATTAGAAACCTCAAGAAACTACTGGTAAGCATTTTAGGACTTGCAATAAGTTTAGAAATATTTGTGGTATAAGAAAAGCATATCTTGGACATACAAGCATCACAGCCACTAAAGTTAAGGATTTCATTCAAGAAATATATATATGTATATTTCAAAATTTGAATTTGTTATTTAAGTTATCAATTTTGATATTCTTTACATTCAGGAAGTATTCAAAGTAATTTTAGCTATATGTTTTTCAGAATTTAATGGTAGTGTTTTGCATGTACTTTTACACTATTACTCCATTGCACTTAATTTGACTGTTTGTGAACTAAATTTATTCACCTATAAATTCATAAGAAAATTCAAAATAATATAATAAATTCAATAATAATAAAATAAAGATTGAAACTGATGCTTGAACTTAAACTGTTTTACTTACTTACCATTTTAGGTGTCACATTTCTTAAGGATGCTTTCAAAAGGAATGTTTTTTTATATGGTTCTTTCTAATTGAGAAGAAAATATTTGAGTATCGAGGAACAAGATATTATTAAGAAATTATATTTAGGCCTTAAGCTATTCTGAATTAGAATTTTGTTTTCTGAGTTAGTCATGCTGAAGAAAGAAGAAATAGAAAGTATGAACTCAAGTGTAGTTATTATTAGAAGTGATTAACTTTTATTAAGATTAAACAACACTAAATGTGACATTTGTGTCATGATATTTAAGATTGTTTGGTTTAAGTATTAGTGATTAATTTATATTTGTCAGTGAATACTTTATTATTTTTAAGTTTTTTTATAATAAGAGTTAAAATAGACGATTGTAGAAGGTTTTGCTAACAAGTAATTGGTGTAGAGAATATAGAAAGTGGCCAGACGACCATGTAATAAAGATCTAAATAGCGTGAGACGAGTGGGAAGCAGCAGACAGACAACAATAGACTAATAATAGCAAAAGAGAATATAGCTGTGTGAAGTTAAGTACTATAGATGTGATAGGCCTAACGTTTAATATGCTAGACTGAAATAAACTATAAAAAAAAGATAAGAACGATAATTTTATTCTGTCAAAGCATGATTCTAAAGTAACTGACTTGTGCCTGGGTACACTTGGATAAAAGGAACAGAGGATCTTCAGAAGAAAGAAGACCAAATGAATTGCAGTAACTTGATTCAACTATAAGTGAATCACACACAGAATACTATACAATGGTAATATAGAGAAGAATAGTTTGACTTGTCAACTGAAATTCTAAAGTAATTGAATTGGCCTAAGTGGACTTTTGACAAGAAGAAGAGAACTATATACAAATAGTATTTATGATATGCCTGTAATATCTGTAGTGTGAAGACTTTGTTGCACATAGGTTTAACTTGTTCGAATTATATATATATATATTATCTGAAAACAAGTAAAGTGTGTGCTGTTTATTCATCATTAAATTTATCACTAATAAATTACAGACAACTACTTTAGAAGAATCCTAAGCATAGTATATGTTTATACTATAAAGAAATATAAGTAAAAGCCATTTATTTCAACAATTGGCAAAAAGAACTTAATAAATATACATATATTAGATTTTCCAAATCTGACAGTTTGGTTAAGCAACAAAATCCACATTTATTTTAAAAATATGAAGAATGATACATGCTTTAACTCATTTCATTTTCCTAAGGAAGTATTTCAGACTCAGTGAAAGTTCAGGTGTGGTGGACTAAAATATTTGATAACATGTTTGATATAAAATTGTCACACTAATGAAAATATATATTTTATAATAATAAAATTTTCAGAAAAGCACAAAATTATATACTCTATTAATATTCTTTAAAACAAAGTTAACTGGGATTTAATCTCTAAGATATGAATTATGGCTAGGTTGGGAAGTGCAAAACTTTTGTTTAAAGTACAATTAAAATTCTGTAGAATTTATAGAGCTGTTGTTATTGTCTAGTTAATTCTAACTTGTGTTCAATATGTTTTATTATTGGCCCTGGCATGGCCAGGAGGTTAGGGTACTTGATTCGCAATCTGCGGGTTGTGGGTTTGAATCATCATTCGAACAAACAGGTTTGCCTTTTCAGCTGTGGGGGCGTTATAATGTGACGGTCAATCCAATATTATTGGTAAAAGAGTAGCCCAATAGTTGGCAATGGGTGATGATGACTAGCTGTCTTCCCTCTAGTCTTTCACTGCTAAATTAGGGATCGCTAGCACAGACAGCTTTTGTGTAGCATTGCGCAAAATATAAAACAAACCAAACCTTATTTTTATTATCTAGTCAATCCTAATTTGTGTTAAAAACAATATTTTTCAACATTTCTTTGTTATTATCTAATTAATCCTAACATGTTGTAGACTGTTTCTTCAGCACATCGTTATTCTTCTTATGTATTTAGTCAAAGCTTATGTTTAGGATAATGTTTCTTCAACAAATCCCTGTTATTATCATCTGGTTATTGCTAACTTGCAACCTGAGAGTTATGGGTTCAAATCCCCATCATACCGAACATGCTTGACTTTTCAGCTGTGATGCTGTTATAAAGTGACAGTCAATCCCATTTTTTGTTGGTAAAATAGTAGCCTGAGAGTTAGTGGTGGGTGGTATTGACTAACTGCCTTCCCTCTAGTCTATCACTACTAAATTAGGGACAGCTACCGCAGATAGCCCTTGTGTAACTTTATGTGAAATTCAAAACAAACCAAACCAATTATCTAGTTAATCCTAACATGTGTCAAAGACCACATTTCTTAACAAATTTTTAAAACTTGATTTGTGCAAAAGTGTTATAACAAAGTCAAAAATTAGATTTCAGGCTACTTTCAAAGAACAATGGAAGATAAATCACAGGTGAAACATCAAAATTTTATTAATCTTCATATTTAGTACAACAGAAACTCAGTGGAAGTGCTTGAGTTCAGCAAATGATTAATATTTTGTGTCCCTCTTTTGCTTGAATAACTGCAGACAGTCTTTCAGGCATTGTTGCAACATATTTAATCAAAGTGTTCTTTGGGATTTTACTCCAAATGTCTCTAATACACTCCCATAAAGTCTCTTTAGAAGTAACTTTTGATCTATCAAATCCCAGATCTGCTCAATTGGGTTTAGACCGGGCTCTGTGGGGGCCATTGCATCATTTGTATGACTCCAGCACTTTCTTTCTTAGCTAAGTAAATTCCCGTAGGTTGGATGAGTGTTTGGGGTCATTATCTTCTTGGTAATAGAATTCTTTACCAATAATATGCAAACCACTAGGTTTACCATGACAGATCAGTATCTGATGGTACTTGCATTGGTTCATTATTCTATCTATTTTGCAAATATTTCATGTTGCCACAGCAGAAAAACACCCCGAACCATCAAACTGCCTACTCCATTCTTTATGGTAGGTGCTATGCATTGAGGTAAGTATCTTTCACCTTTCTTCCACAGGACATACAACCTATGCTTTGAACCAAATATTTCAAACTTGGACTCATCTGTCCATAACACCCCTTTCCAATCATCAGTAGTCCAGTTTTTGTACGTTTTAGCAAATTTCAGTCTCTTGACAATATTTGGAGATCAAAGTAAAGGTTTTTTAACTGCAACACAACCAAATATTCCATTCACATCGAGTCTTCTTGATACTGTAGATCTGGACACTTTTCTGTCATTTGGTACATGGTTGTTTATCTCCTGGTTGAGATTGGTGGCAGTCTTCTTTCTGTCCTGAAGGCTGCATAAAGAAAGATACTTAACATCAGTATCATTAAGTTTAGGTGTTCTGCCTCTTCCTTTCCTATTTTCAAACTTACCTGTCTTGGTCTTGCAATCTAGGGTGTATTTGACAGTGTTTGGGGAACATTTCAAGTCATAGCAGTTTGGGAGAGTCCAACCAACATCAGGTAAAGCTTTTAAAGCTTCAGCATATATTTCCTTTGCAACATCTCAACCAACAATTAGTCCAGTTATCAATGCTATTTTCAAGTTTTGAACAACTCAACTTTCAAGATCTATGTATCTACATGTGCTGATGTTTCCATTTATCAACGTTATATTTTAAGATCTGTGCAAGAACTCAGCTAACAAATTTTTCTGCATATAAAAGCTATCTTTAAGTTTTGTACACCAAAAAAACTTTTAAAGCTTTATGCAAACCCTCTACTCTACTGACAGTTCTCTACACTTTTTGGGCCATGGCTTGATAACAAAACTTAATATTTAGTGTTAAACACTGTTTTTATCAAGGTTTATTTGTGGAGTGCTATTAAATCGATTTCTTCTAGTATATACCGGTACCATATGCTAGCTTCTTTCTATATAGTTAAGACACTGCATGGGGAACCATGACAGTTATTTCAGACCCTAAATTTGTGCAAGTATATGGAAATTCTAAAGAATGATAAGTATTCTCACCCTGGCTCATTAAATTGTCAACAGTGATCAGTGAAGCATTACCATAGTGTTGAAATTTACATTCTGTAATGGCATGGAGTAATTTGCCCCATAAAATGGAAAGAATGACAAAATATTCTCTTGTGCTAACACTTTTGTACAGTACTGTATGTCAGTAGGTACCTCAAACTTTACACTTTTTTATGTTATTTTTAAGCATGATTTGCTTTTTTCATCAAACACTTGTTCTTCTTTCTATAGCAATTTAGAAGCTGAATTCAAAATATATTAGCTATAATACCTTGCTAAAGTTACTTTTGTTTTGAGGTATAAGAATATTTGATCTCAGTATTACTGGTACCACAGTTATAAGAAACTAATAAAACTTAGTCAAGCTGTTAGGTTCAGATTGCTCTCTTTGTTTTCTGAGTAAATTTGCTGTTATTAGTGGGTCTAACTATCTGATACTTTTAGGGAAATCAGTTCAATTTAAAATATCACAAGTATATATGAAGGATAATTTTTGGTGCAGTGACATCAGCATTTATTGTGGTGTTTCTGAATTAAAAACATGCATATTAGCCTTTACTTAAATGCATCTCACAAAAGAATGGTATTTTCTAGATGTAGAATTACTCATGACTGAGAGAGA